CTATATACATATACATATACATATACATATACATATACATATACATACATACATATATATATATATATATATATATATATATATATATATATATATATGTATGTATATGGACAGAGTATGGGAGAATAAACAAATTTGCATTTAATCACAAACCGAGTTGAATATACTTTGGTTATGCCAACTAGTCTAGTCATTGACATCAAACAAAACGAGTATATACAACTTTCTTTTGTATACTCATTTGATAGATTAAGGTGAATCATCTGAGAAAAATATATATGGTAGCAAATGTTAAAAACTGATTGCTGATCCATGACAGGTGAAGCTCTTAACCTATTTATTTGCTAATTACTTTCATCGCAAATTATTTGGACGTCTCTTACTTCCAACAAATAACTGAAGTACATAAAACCAATGCAAGTGAGCAATCAATAAAAACATTCCTCGCCAACTGAATTTAAGATGACATAATAAAACCTAGCCCTATCATACAGGGTGAGTAGGTTACATGCATCAATCAACAACCTAATATTCAGCAATATGACTCAGAATCATCCCAATTATTGGATATCTCTTCCAATTGAATCACTTTACTCACTCCAACATGATGTGGAATTTTTAACAGTAATTCTTTTGAGTACATCACAACTGGAAAGCAAGAACCAAAGCGCAAATTATTTTTAGGCAAATTTCAAATAAAAAATTAATTACCTCAGGAATAATAAAAAATAATAAATTGAGAAGTGTGAACCAACCTTCCTGATATTGGCTATATTTGCCCCTCCTTTACCCAGCACTTTACCAACAGCATTGGCTGGAATCAACATATCCAGAGTTGATGGAGGTGGTAAACTGTGCACAATAAGAGCACAAAAACATAAGTTAACCAATTTAATATAGTTGAGAAAATAAAAATAGAAGGTTAAGTGCATATTGATTAAGTCTAAACCCACAATTAAACTTTTAGAATCTTGTTCTCAAACCATGGTTTCAGTGAGTGGGAGTTGCATTTACAAATGGAAATGTTTCTCTACTCTACAGACCCAGATTTACTAAATCAGTTGGCAAGTATTTGCATAATTGTTATATAAATGTATACTAACCCTCCATATAGCTTGTTGGTATACGAGGATATAGAGCCATAGCCATTTTCTCCCATCTATTGCATATAATTAAACCAAAGAAAAAGTATTAGAGACACATTTTTAAACTAAAACTGGAATGAATACATAACAAAAAGATAAAAGAAAAGAAAGACTGAAAGCATTTTGTATTTTACGAAAGAGAGAAACTAAAACTAAATCATAATATTCCTGCAAAAACTATCACAATATCTTATAACAATATGGCCATAAAAATGTAGCATACCGACAAAGATCCATATCCATAAAGGCTGCTTGAAGAAAGCATGCCCAGGCCAGCTCCACTCTCAGCCCTCTGATCATAAACCAATGGAGCAGCAACAGGAGGGACCGAAGGAAGCACGGATGGCAATGAAAAACCTGCACTACCTGAGTACAAGGATTCGGCACCTATACCTATAGAAGGATTATGGCTAGTATCCCTTTCTCTCAACACATCATCTCTGAGTCTTAATATAATCTGGATCAGTGCATCTCTTACACAATCAACTGCGCCACCCACCTAAATCTCAAAAAAACATTGAAGGGTTAAATATGAAAAAAGTGCTATCATTGTTATTATTGAGTTTATAAGATGAAAAAAATGCTGCATTAGTCAGTGGCCATTTACTTTTCATTTTTTTTTTCTCTCCAATGATTTTTTGTTGTTAAAGAGTCATAGGTATCATACAGTGTATGTTTGTTTCAATGTTTGAACATCCACTCCACACTTCACTAGAAAAGAGATGAGATTGAGGAAATTTAAAAAGAATTGAGTTCAAACCACGATTTAACACTTCTACAGACACACCCATATAAAGCTTTCATGCCAAATATTGCCTAATAAACATACTTTTAAAACAAGTGAAAAAGTCAAACCTCAACAAGTTCGTCATTCACATCAGCACATTTTGGCTTATCACCTTTAGAGATTCGAACATCAGCCCTAGTTCTCTTCCGAATTTCATTTATGATTGAGCCACTTTTACCAATAATACAACCTATCACCTTGGATGGAACTAGAAGCCGCATTGAAACAGTGGTATCATCTTCATCATTTATTTTCCCTTGCATCAGCAGAACAGCTTCAACAGCCATTGACTTTAGATCACTCGGCGACTACAAAATACATATCCGCATGATCATTTTCCATTTTATAATAAGAATATAAGAATTTATATATATAGGCAATATGATTTGGGACAGCATAATTATATCCATAGAAAATGTGGGAACACATACTGCTATAATTATAGAAATAAGAAGCAGATCCTAAATAATCAAGAATATTGTTATAATCATAGAAATAAGGAGTTGATCCATACAATCAGGAATATCTAGATTATATATGTAATATTAGGACATGATTACACATATTGAGAAACCATAGCTATTGTTGTTCGTGAATCATTCAAGAAGTGCTGATATACATAGTGCTGATATACATAACTTCCAATCATGTCCAAAAGATTACAGTCAACCCAAAAGAGATATACATAAATTTTGAATGAAAATTAAGTTTTCTTTTTGTAAGAGTTTTATAGAGTTTGGAGTTATAAGACCCTGAATTTTTATCTTATCAAGACCTGTGACAACCAACCATTACCTTATTTTCTTGAGTATACTGTTAATATTCTTTCTCAAACTAAATATCAAAAGGATCCTATTTCTGTTTTCGTATCAGAAACTGTATACTTGATTGCCACTTCACAAAATGCTCAAAACTATTCACATGCTGAAATGATGAAATAACATATTTTGATTTTAACAGAATAACATGCCAAATCTTGCTCTGCCAATTATTTTTTAAGTTAATTTTTTTCCCATTCCCTTCTAGATTCTTTCCAAAATGCTGTTAACAAGTGTAAGTGTTGACATACTAAATGAGCATCAATCCTTATTGTCATAAAGAACGGAAAATTAACACTGCTGAGCACAATGTTCAACTACAAAAGATTTCTTTCAACAATGGATCAAAAAATTGTTTTCATGAAATTTGCTAATCCCACAGATAGAAAATAGCAACTTAACCAAGGCAAATTTTAGATAAACTTGATATATAAATGATACAAAACATATACACAGATAGAAAATTTGAGCTTTTAAAAATGAAATAAGCATATACACATAGCTTAACAACAAATTAAGTTATTGAAATGCGAGAATCAATCAACTCCTTACTTTAATAATCAAGTTTAAACGATTTTTCCAGGTTTTAATCAACTCCTTTGTTTAAATGATTTCAATCACTTAAGTTATTGAAATCCGAGAATCAATCAACTCCTCACTTTAATAATCAAGTTTAAATGATTTTTCCACTTTTTAATCTTGCATATTATGATACATACATACATATCCGTACATATATATATATATATATATATATATATATATATATATAAATAACCTAAATAACTAACAGTAGTATGAAACATAGGAATTGTATTTTAGTTATCTTTTTACAAAACTTTTATATATACCACTAATTTTGATTATTGTAATCTTTTACTAACTTAAATATTTACTTAATATTAATACATTCCTATATTCTTGATTAATTTCTTTATTATTAGACATGGATACTCAACAATCATGAACATGTCCAACCCATTTATAACAAACGTCAAGGTTAGAAGCAAAATTCTTTCTCATCTCATCATGACCAATGAGGAATAAGAAATAGACAAACACAAGAAAAACATATCAACTATAAAAGATTCGAATCATATCATCGAAAAAGATCGAAGCTGAACCTAGTATATAAATAACCCAAACCAAGAACGAGGGAGCATATATTTCCTCTTCAAAATCAACTTTATATATATATATACTACTACTTTTATTCCTTTCTCAAGTTCTATCTCCGTTTTATTTTGGTTAATTTAGCGGTGGTAAGATGTTCTTTATATCCTTATAAATTTTTAAATCTTCCTTTTCAGCAGAATTTGCATTTAATAGAATTGAAGATGGCAAAACACACATTAGCTACGCAATTTTAAAATATTAGAGAAAATATTCGTAGAATTTATGAAATCTATTGGTAAAAAGTGTCCATAGTTTGATGTTTTGTCATCTTATGCTTAAGGTTGGGTAGCGTGAGTGGATGTGCAAAAGGGTCTAAATAAGTTGATGCATATACTATTTATGGTTAAGCTAATGCTTGTGCGATTGTTAGAGATCATAATATCATTCTAAAAGTGTTAACTTTGTGTTCATGATTTGAGGACACTAACAAGTTCTCTAGAGTGGTATGTTGGTATTCAATTAAAAAACGATATCACTTTTCTATTCCAAGTTTCCAACACTATTAGCTATATTAATTCTCACTCTAATCTTTACTACAATTAATTAATATTCATATCTCTCTTTCTCCACTTTCTTGCTTTATTTTCTGGTAAGTAATTCCTTCAAACACAAAGCGATCATGATTAGGCCTTGCTTTTTAAGATCCAATTTTCCATTCAAACAAATCGTCTATAAAACAATCTTGCAATTAAAATTCTAAAAGCATGATTAACCATTGAATTAATTAAGCTTCTTGCAATTAATTATACGAGTAACGTTACGTTGATGATGAGTACACAATCTTGTAAACAGTATCACAAGTTTTAAATTTGATGATAGTGCAAAGTTAATTGGCGAGTGTGAAAGTCTGATCTGATTAACAAATGGATTTCTAGAAGACACAGCAGAATTAATATATGTGGGTCGTGTTAAACAATTAGATTCGATAGAATAATGATCGAATTTAAATACTCTCAAGTGTCCCCGCGACAACAATGGGAAAACCTTGATCCTAATCTATGTGGAAAGGACAAGCAAAGAAAGAGCAAATTACATGTGTATCCACAAAAAAAATAATGTTAAACACAAGAAATCACATACGATCCTCTTTTCACCTTTAATTTTTCAAAATTTGGTTTGAGTGCGCACACATGCTTAGCTGTTAAACAAAGTGTTTTAGTAGTACAAGTATATTTATATTATGTTGATGATGGTCGATCCGTACCACACACGGATATTGCTTGCAGTATCTACATATATATATATATATATATATACATTTTTAATGTTAATAGTTTTGGTTGTGTTGATCATGCTTCTTCTTTTTTCCAGTGATGAATGTCTCAAAATGATTCATCCATGTAGTTTGAAATTGGTCTGCAGATTTTAGTGACCAAGCCAATTTCATAATTTATGACTACGGCTTTCGATGTAATTTCTGGGGTTCTAACACTTCATCAACAATCCACATAACATCCTTTTCAGATTAAAATACCAAAAAGTACTATATAGGAATGTGGAATAAAGAGTAAAGACCCTTGTTTTTCGATAGATAAGGAACAAATTAAAGAGCACAACGATATCTCTTTATCAACAAAAGCCCATTTTTTCTAAAAAAAACCTTAACTTTTAGAATTTAATTTGTTAAATTTGTTAGAGATCTCATCGATTAATAATAATAAGATTGAGTTACAATATATAAATACAATTTATTTATTTTTTTGAGAATTTAAGTGTTTGTCTAAATCTTAGATTAGATAAGATAAAAAAATTAAGCATATGAAAATTTATAAATTCATTATTTTAACATTTTAGGTTAAAAAAAGTGTTAATATTATATATGAATCTGAATTTATGTATCTTTTGTGAATCATTTCTTAATAAACTCATAAAATCTTTTATAAATTGAATTAAAATGGTATCAAAGTCTATATCTTTTTATTTATTGACTCTCACCTTTAAAATTTAAGTTTTCATTAAGCTAAAGTAACGGAATTATAAAAAAACAAAAAGATGAATTTATTTTCATTTTCTTTCACTAATAATATATTAAGATGGAATTCGGTAAATATCTCAAAGAAAAAAAGAAAAGTATTAGTCAAAAATAAAACTTTTATACGAGTAATATAAGATATATAACTTGTACAAATTTTTCTTCATAAAAAATGCCTATAAACTAAACATAGTTTGATTCTATAGAAACAAGTGGCGACTAATTTAGCTCAAACCTCACGTGTGAAATTTAACATCAAAATGTTCAAAATCAATTGTGTTTTTTTCTTCTCTACCAAAGAAAACAAAATGGAAAATTCACATGTCCAGCATCAGTTCACGAAGCACCATGGTTGGAATTTAAAAAGACGAAAAAAAAACACCAGCTGTCCCAAGATGACGTTGGACACCATCATATCCATAATATTTAATTGGCCCCAATACCCAAAAATGGTATCTAATTAAATAATATTTTAATGAAAAATCAGAATTATCTGTATTGATCCCCGAAAGAGGCAAACAGTCCAACACCTGGGGAATGCCCATTGGGGATCTTGTACTTTTCACTTTAAAAAAACATCACTAACGTTAATATTTTATGTTTCATTCCTTAGATTATGCTTCTTAAACAGTAATTTTGTGTCCAGATCCATCACCCTACTTAACACGTGTCACCACAACAACTAAAAAATTTAATTTCTCTTTTATTTTATCTTCGCCAAGCTTGTCACCTAATAGTTTAACATAATGTTGAATTTTCTAATATACCCTTCTCTTGTATGTTATTCCATGATTGGCTGATTGCAATATTCCAAGCTCTTTCAGCGGCTCAAGATTTTGTTGGTGAGGAAGTCGATTTTTCTTAGGCAATCACGTTTCAAACCCCAAACACTCACTAATATCAACCTGACGTAAATAATAAACCCCAAGGGTATTTTCGTCAGTTACCAAGATTTTACCTACACGTTGTTTTTCAATTTACATAACTTATATAAAACCAGTTTCTTATAATTGGAACTATAATTCAATATGTATAGTGAATAATAAATATATCACACTTTGCCTTCAAATAATATAAGGAGCTAATATTTTTCATAGTGCGTTTTGGCCTTATAAAATGAATGTTTTCTTTTTCTTTTTCTTTTAACTCGGATTAGGCTTGTATAAATACAATTAATTTCATTGTAACAAGTATATATTAATTTATTAAATATTGTCATTCCTAAAATTTCTACTCTTGGACATCAAACTATTTTATAGTAAAATCACATATAATGGAGAAATGTGCAATGAATTTATCTTCTCTAAGAAATCATGATGATGCTCCGATTGTTTTTTAAATTTTAAGTGCGAAATTTATCAATGTAAAAATATAAA